TCGCAAAGAAGACATAAGATTGTAAACATTAAACAAATTTATTAAATGCATTATATTTACATTTCCAATGTCTTTGTCCTAGATAAAATTACAAATTGTAAATGTACTTTATTTCCCCATCAATGTATTGGCGTGGTTCCAAAACAACCACGTTCAGGGCGGGACAAACAGCTAGACAGAAGCAGGGCTTGGAGCATGTGGATTGGCGGAATCAAAGCATGTAGTGCCCCGGAATTATTCTTTCCGGATTTGTTGGTTTTTACTTTATTTTTATTGTAAACCGGAAACGATCTAAGGCATCAGTGCCAACCTCGTGGGTTCCAGAACCCAGCATATTTTACTGTGTTTAAAGCCACCTATGAAGTAAGTTTTGTGATCTTTCATTTACTATTATGTGTAGGCAATGCAAAATACTCGTTTTCTAGTCATATGTAATTTTTTAACTGTCGTATTGAGTCGATTGACATTTGGCGCATTTTTGCCTGTCTTTGTTTTGATCGTTAAATTTGATTGCGACAATTGATTGATTATTGCATTATTAATACATCTGTAAACATGCTAGGGATTAACTATTTTAATGTCTGTTTATTAATTCATGGAAATTATTTCGTTAGAACAGCTTTTCTTTGAGATTGTTTAAAAATTCAAAACTATGGAAACCCGCTCTAGTCATATTTTTATTGTGTATGTTTTATATCGACATATTGTTTACATTTTTGTATGGTTTGTTTGTAGTTTTTCACCCTCTCCGGGGGTTTGGATGCAATAAACTCATTCAACATTGCACAGTGAAAAATTCATAGCCGAGCTACTGATTAATTGAATGGAAAAATCAACGACAAACATCAGCCAGATAAGTCCACCTACAGCCATGTCTTCAGGGAGAAGGTCTTCCTCCATAGCTTCAGAGCTAGCCAGACACCGGGCTAAACTAGAAGCGGCAAAAGTGCAGGAAAAATATCTGCAACAAGAATTTGAGATGGAGAAACGAAAAGCCATACTTGACCATGATCTTAAAATTCTACAGTGCAAGAGAGAGATGGAGGAGGCACAGATTGAAATGAACAGTCTAGATTATTTAGATGAAGTATCAGACGAGAATTTTACAGATAAAGAATACAAAAACCTTCAGCAAGTCGCTCAAGAGAGAGTCGAAGAGTTTGTACAACAGCAGTCAGAGCTGAAGACTGGATTGGAAAAAAAGGAACAAGGTGTCGTACCAAACAACATTACACTGTCTCCTATGGCGCCAGCATTCGTTCCAAAGGAGACTCGAGCAATGGACATATTAATGAAGTGTCTAAGTTCCTTGCGAAGAAAGATTTATTGTGGTGACGACTCACAAAATTTGACGACCGCCCAGAATACTTCACAGGATGGAAAACAAGTTTTAAAAACATTGTGAGTGAACTGAACTTAACATCCTTGGAAGAGTTAGAACTATTGAATAAATGGTTGGGACCAGAATCAGCGAGATATGCACAAAGCATAAGGACCGCCAGTGTGAATCCTGATGTTGCTTTAGCCCGACTATGGGAACACTTGGAGGACAGGTATGGTAGACCTGAGATGATCGAAGCGGCACTGAAAAACAAACTTTCAGCCTTCCCAAAACTCAGTATTAAAGACAACAAACGGTTATACGACCTCGTAGACATTGTGTCAGAAATAGAAGCAGCAAAGGAAATTCCACACCTCTCTTCGCTTTTCGCATACTTTGACTCATCAAGTGGAGTGAACCCCATTGTGTCGAAACTCCCGTACCAAATCCAAGAGAAGTGGACCAGGCATGCAAACAGCTTTAAAGAAAATCACTACATGACTTTTCAACCCTCCCATGTTTTCTGTAAATTTCTCCGTGACACTGCACGAATGAAAAATGACCCATCCTTTTACTATGACAATGTGATCGAGAACACCAAAGTTGTTCAGGATGGAAGTCGACGAATGCCACAGTACCCTACAGGTGCTTCATCTGTTGCCACAAGGAAAACTGACACGAATGCTTCAAGGCCCATGGACAAGACTGAACACGCGCAACTGTGCCCCTTACATGAGACTGGCCATTCATTGAACTCTTGTCGTGTCTTCCAGAAGAAAACCGTTCAAGAGAGAAGAGAATTCCTTAGATCAAAGGGAATTTGTTTCAAATGCTGTGAAGAGAAACATCTGCCCAAAGACTGTCAGAAAACGATAAAGTGTAACATCTGCAAGGAGCCAGGACATGCCACCGCCCTGCATGTTGGGAAACACGCAAGTGACACTGACAATGACAGCCAGGTGAAGACTGTATGTACACAAATTTGCGGAAACGTACATAAAACTAGCAAGTCCTGTGCTAAGACTCTCTTGGTCAACATCCGCCACGGAGATAACCCAGACAAGGTGCTACGAACGTATGCGATAATTGACGAACAGAGCAATCGGTCTTTAGCAAACAGTGATTTCTTCAAATTCTTTGGTGTGGAAGGTCCAGACATCCAATACGAACTTACCTCATGTTCCGGGCATTCTACTCAAACTGGAAGGAGATCGGCAGGATTCATTATCTCATCTCTGGACAGAAAATCTAGTCTTCGTCTTCCACCATTGATGGAATGCAACTATATCCCAAACAACGGGGATGAGATTCCAACACCAGAGGTCGCGAGATCTTACAGACACATGAGAGACATAGAAGAGGAAATACCCCCTTTAGATCAAGACGCCGAGATAACATAACTGGTTGGCAGAGATTTGCTGCCTGCTCACCACATTCTCGACCAAAGACTGGGAGACTCCGACTCTCCATTTGCTCAAAGACTGCACCTAGGGTGGGTAGTGATTGGTGAGGTATGCTACGGGGCCTCACATTCTCAGGAATCTTTGTCAGTGTGTAAGACATACTAGGACTAATGGGCGTATGTCTCTCATGGAAACTTGTGAAAATTCATTTCAACTGAAGAAAGCCGACATATTCGCTAAGACAAAGCATGACGACTCACCAGGCCTCTCCGTAGAGGATAAGAAGTTCATCGACATCATGGAGCAAGGTTTTGAAAGAGATTCTGAAGGATGTTGGTGTGCACCACTTCCATTTAGAGAAAACCGACCCCTCCTTCCGAGCAATAGAATTCACGCACTTCACAGGGCAAATCTACTCACCAGAGGACTTCAGAAGGACCCTGACAAAAAACAGCTTGTCGTGGAATTTATGAGCAAAATCCTGGATAACGGCCATGCTGAGATTGCTCCACCACTTTCTTCTCCAGAGGAAGAACACTGGTACTTGCCTCTTTTCGCAGTTTATCATCCCAAGAAAGGAAGCGTCAGATGCGTGTTTGATTCATCTGCACAGATTCAAGGACTCAATCTCAACAGTGTTCTCTTGACCGGACCAGACTTGGTAAACAGCCTTCTTGGAATCCTGCTAAGGTTTCGCCAGTTCCAGGTAGCAGTGACAGCAGACGTAGAACAGATGTTTTACCGCTTTTCAGTTCCAGCATGTCACCGAAACTATTTACGATTCTTTTGGCACAAAGACAATGATGTAGAGAAAGAACTTACAGAGTACAGGATGAAGAGACATGTCTTTGGGAATAGTGCATCCCCAGCAGTAGCTACTTTGGGACTTCGCAGAACTGTAAGAAATGCCGATGAGGATGTTAGACAATTTGTGAGTAGAAACTTTTACGTCGACGATGGGCTCTTATCCGTAGATACAGTTGACGAAGCAGTTAACATAGTCGCGAAAACGCAGAAAATTCTTATGGAGGAAGGGAACATCAGGTTGCATAAACTGGCTTCCAATGATTTGAAGGTATGCTCCGCATTTCCAAGCAATGACTTAGCCAAAGAACTCAAGGATCTAAACCTAGATTTAGATGAAAAAACACCCCTTCAACGGACCCTTGGTGTGAGCTGGAATGTCTCCATAGACATGTTTACATTTCAAGTCTCGCGTACTCTTCACCCTTATACAAAAAGGGGAGTACTTGCAACTATCAACAGCCTTTATGACCCAATTGGATTCCTCGCACCTGTTATAGTCAAAGGAAAAATGATACTACGCGACTTGATGGCCGAGAAATTAGACTGGGATGACCCACTCCCCGAGGACCAGTACTCTATGGTGTGAGTGGCGAGAGTCATTGCCAGTGTTAGAGGACATAGCAATACCAAGGGCTTACGCTTACATCAATAGTGCAGAGGTCTTGCGAAGAGAACTACACATATTTGCCGATGCGTCACAAAAGGCAATTAGTGCGGTGGCCTACATGAAGACTTTCCAGACAGACGGCACCCCTCATGTAGGATTTGTCCAGGCAAAGGCAAAGGTGGCACCTGTACATGGGCACACAATTCCACGTCTGGAATTGTGTGCAGCTGTGTTGGCATCTCAACTGAAAAGCACGATTTTGAACAACCTAGATGTTGAAATAGCTGCCACGACCCTGTATTCCGATAGCAAGGTCGTACTTGGATACATCAACAACGAACGCAGACGATTCTACGTATATGTGGGAAATAGAGTAGAAAAAATACGTCAGGCGACATCTTCTCATGAGTGGGAATATTGTCCTACAGATCAAAACCCGGCTGACATTGCCACCAGGTCAATCAAGCCCTGCGACCTTCAAGAGAGCAGATGGTTATGTGGACCCCATTTCCTTAGGAATACAAAAGAGGAAAAGTGTAATCTCAGTGAACCAGGAAATCCCACTTACAGATTCCCATTGGTGGATGTGGAACAAGATAAGGAAGTGAGGCCTATTGTGAAGACCTTGCATACCACATGCAAGGATGAAGTATACCACTCCTGGTGTGAGCGATTTAAGAATTTCTCCTCTTGGATCAGACTAGTCAGAGCTATTGCATGACTGCAGCACCTTGCTTACTCCTTTAACAAGTCTAGTAGCTGCGTGGGATGGCACCATTGTTCGGTCCCGAAAAGTGCTGAAGCTTACAAAAGAGCAGAAGAATTCATTATCAAGGCAGTTCAGAGAGAATACTTCCTGGAGGAAGTTGAGAGCCTTATGGAGGGGAGAGAAATTAAGAAAGGAAACGCTATCTTGGGATTGTCACCGTTTTTAGACTCCAGAGGACTTCTTCGTGTTGGAGGAAGATTGAGGCGTGGAACCAAATCACTTCGGCAGATTGAAACTTGTCCTATTTTGAGACCGAAGGGAAGTCATTTAGCAACCTTATTAGCTCTGCATTGTCATGAACAGGTCTTTCATCAAGGTCGACGCCTCACAGGAGGGAAACTTCACAGCATGGGATTCTGGATAGTGGGAGCGAAAAGGTTAATCAACAGTCTTCAGGGGAAATGTGTCACCTGCAAAAGATTGCGTGGTACATTCTGCTCTCCTAAAATGGCTGAACTTCCTGAAGACCGTTTAAGTCCTGGACCCCCTTTTACTTACGTCAGAGTAGATGTATTCGGTCCGTGGAGCATAACCGCACGCAAAACGAGGGGAAGTCACGTAACGCAGAAAAGATGGGCTGTACTTTTCACGTGTTTAACCAGCAGGGCAGTCCACATCGAAATCTCAGAGGAACTCAGCACTTCAAGTTTCATCAATGCGATGAGGCGCTTTATCGCCATTCGAGGACCAGTCAAGATCTTTAGATCAGATCGTGGCACCAACTTTGTCGGTGGAGTCAAAGAGTTGGGGATGAAGAACGTTGTAACCGAAGATGCCTCTGTCAAGAACTTCTCAGCGGAAAACAGCTGTGTTTGGATTTTCAACCCACCACATGCTTCTCATTTCGGAGGCGTGTGGGAGCGAATGATCGGAATCACGCGAAGGATTCTAGATGGGATCTTGCTGAGCAAAAAGTACATCAAAGATCTTACTCATGAAGTGCTTGTTACCCTCATGGCTGAAATCAGCGCTGTCATGAACTCCAGACCAATTGCGGCAATATCCACAGATCCTGATGACCCGTCCATATTAGCGCCAGCCAGTCTTTTGACCCAAAAGGTTGGAACACCACCAGATGACATCCCTCAGTTTGGTATCAAAGATATATACAAGTCACAGTGGCAGAGAGTCCAGGTGATGGCAGATGAGTTCTGGAAAAAGTGGCAGAAAGAGTACCTGACAGGACTTCAGAACAGGAGAAAGTGGGCGACGGACCAACCTAACCTAAAGACAGGAGACATTGTTCTGTTACGTGAGTACCATTCTGGATGCAACTCATGGCCGACTGCCATGATCAAACAGACTTTCCCGGGAGCTGATGAAAGAGTGCGAGAAGCGGAGATCCGTTTGTTTAGAGGAGAAAAAGAGTTCACTTACGTCCGTCCCGTTCATGAACTTGTGCCATTGATCACTGATTGAATTAACACTGCTTTGTACATTCACAAACTGCTCTAATGTGTTTTCATTGTTTGTGTTTTGATGAGTAAGAATGATTGTTTTCTCATTACCCTTTATGTAAGGTCTTTTTAATTGTCAGTTTATTTTGAATTATTTCATTAGGGTGATTTTTTTGTAAAATCAGGAGGGGAGTGTAGTGCCCCGGAATTATTCTTTCCGGATTTGTTGGTTTTTACTTTATTTTTATTGTAAACCGGAAACGATCTAAGGCATCAGTGCCAACCTCGTGGGTTCCAGAACCCAGCATATTTTACTGTGTTTAAAGCCACCTATGAAGTAAGTTTTGTGATTTTTCATTTACTATTATGTGTAGGCAATGCATAATACTCGTTTTCTAGTCATATGTAATTTTTTAACTGTCGTATTGGGTCGATTGACATTTGGCGCGTTTTTGCCTGTCTTTGTTTTGATCGTTAAATTTGATTGCGACGATTGATTATTGCATTATTAATACATCTGTAAACATGCTAGGGATTAACTATTTTAATGTCTGTTTATTAATTCATGGAAATTATTTCGTTAGAACAGCTTTTCTTTGAGATTATTTAAAAATTCAAAACTATGGAAACCCGCTCTAGTCATATTTTTATTGTGTATGTTTTATATCGACATATTGTTTACATTTTTGTATTATTTGTTTGTAGTTTTTCACCCTGTCCGGGGGTTTGGATGCAATAAACTCATTCAACATCGCACAAAGCATGTAAATATAAGGAATAACTGTCAGATTTTTTTTAATTTCATGACGATGATCAATCGATTGGCTTGCGTGATATGCGTTTATGCAAATTATCACGCAACCCAATCGATTGATCACATCATGAAATCGAAAAATAAGAAAGTTATTTCTTTAATCAACAAACAATTTATTTCAAACGATGACATTCACACCACATTCATACCAAATAAACAATAATGAATTAAGTTTTAATTAATTAAATAAGAATAATCATAGCGTAAAACAGACTGAAAAACCACCCCAAAAATCTATCTTGTCTATTTCCCAATACCTAATAATGAAATCAATTCGTAGTTATTTATAACTTTGACTTTTAAAACTTAACACAGGCTTTACTGTATTTAACAGGTTTAGCTTGTTAAAGTCCTAAAACACTTTATTAAAATGGGACACAAGCCATGGTCATTTATAACACTGACTTGTTAAACCTAAAGCAAGCTTTACTGTATTTAACAGATTCCGCTTGTAAATACTACGGGTCATAAATGTTAAATCCAATAATCTTTATCAAGTTTGAAGTAAAACAAAAATTTTAATTCCCAAGTTGTTGAATGAAAAATTCTAAAGAAAAATTTACGCAGCTAGAAAAATTAAATTACTGAATCTAAATAAAATAAAAATTGACTTACGTTGAATTCATCAACTTTAGTCATTATAAAAGAAAAAGATAGCAAATGTATAAGTTTCCTTACATAGTTTGCCGTAAAATAAAATTGTAAATAAATGTAGAGTAAAATTGTAAAATAAAACAATCCTAGAAAAATTAATTACTGAAGAGAACTACTCAGTCATAGACTGTTGAGTTCTTAAAACAACTGATCACGGACAATAGACCCTTTTCCTATGGCATATTTTGCCTAGGAGTTATTTCCTTAGCCGCCATATTGTAGGGCAATATTGAATATTCCCAGATTCCTTCATTATTATGGCGTCGGGCTTGCCCGATCGTCATCTAGCGATCAGTCAGGTTTACGCGACCGCACGTGTCAGTGGATGCATCCGCAATAGAAAATATCAACAGCTGTAAACCAATTTCTTTTAAAACGTTCACAATGAATAATAGCTTGAATATAAAATTAAATCAATTGTATCTTCAATTAATACTACTTCAAAACAATGATATTATGTTTAATTTTTACGCAAGAAAAACGTTATGGTTGTTGCGGATGAATTTCTACTGAGAGGGTGCGTCGAATGACATGAATCACATTTTGGGACCGATTACTGTAATACAAACAATCTTAAATATGGTAAAATAATTACAAAATAAACACGAATACAACAAGACTATAAAGATTGAATTTCTTAATCTTAGCCTTACTTTTACGATCTTCAATCCAATTTTAGCCGAACAACCTATGATATTGACCAGTAATGCCAGTATTACTGTATTTATCCATTTCCTCCATTTGTTTACCGCGCCCTTATCATAAGTCGATCGTACTTGTAACATTAGAGTCATGGTTGTAGTTAAGATGCAATCACTATACAACAGAACAACACTCTGACAATGGCAATTAATTAAAATAATTTACGAAACCCTTCATATGTCTTCGATTGACTGAAAAGAAATTAGATTGATATAGACATGATAGAGGATGGACATTACTGACGATGTCTGGTCAATTCGAACCCTGACTTATTCGGACCAGGACACAAGGCTATCAGGCCCTATACTGTATTTGTGTTAAGACTATTTTTTTTTATTTTATTATAATGTTACTGGAGTCACTCACTTGACCTATTTGCAGTTCTTTTGAAATTGTTTTTCTTGTTCGACGCCATTGAAGCCTTTCAGGCTTTTGATTCAACCATATTCAATTTGTTAGACTGGTTACTGAGGTAAAGTTAACACTATTTTTCTTATGAAAATACATTTGTTAAAGCCTCTATTTCAGAAATAAAGTCCGCGTTTTTGTGAATGTTGCAGGATAACCTCCGAGGTCGAGAAATGTTGTTTGAAAGATAAAAGCCGAGGCGTTAGCCGAGGCTTTTATATTTCAAACAACATTTCGAGACCGAGGAGGTTATCCTGCATCATTCATGACAACAAGGACTTTATTTCTGTTCTACAAAGATCTCTTAACATGCTAAAATACGACTGATCGTTTCCTCTATAGAGAAACGAATTAGGTCACCATGTCTCGACAACGCTGTTCCATTTAACACCAGAGCGAAATTTTGTTTACTTACCTGTGTATGGAAATCAGACGATTTGAGCTTTCATTGCATTAAAAATAGCCTTTATGATTTACAAATCTGTTCGTAATATGTATTGATTAATTTTAATGAATAGATGCAGTAACAAAATCATGTTCCGGTTTTACTAAAATCACGTTGTTTAAATGTGTAGGGAGGTCCATGGAATAGCCCGCTTAGCTATAAAAACCGACCTTCATCAGCAAGTTGATGCAATTTACAGTGTTTATACTGCAAAAGACGACACATCGGTGCGGTCTAAACAAGTATTTCATTCTACAGCCAAACATGCAATTGAATTGTTCAAGTTTGATACGTGTTTCTGATCTGATATTTTTTTGATGACGTTCGTGATTTATTGGAGAATAATGTCCGGCGGATTTCTTTGATGTTTACAATAATCGTGGTAGAATAATTCATAATTTTAAGATTATAAATATTCTCCCCCATATATGTCTTCCATGCAAGTTTAAAATTGGTTGCTCAAAGAGGTAAATTCACTATGACGTTGCCAAGTACAAGATGGTGGCTAAGGGGAATAACTCCTAGGCAAAATATGCCAAAGGAAAAGGGTCTATAGTAATTTTACTATATAATGTCCTACACGGTTAAATCCTATCCTAACTTAATAAATGAAAAAATGAAATACATTCCTAAATAAAATAAAATATAGACAAAAATATAAGTTAAAATAAAATCCTAACAAAAATCTAAAAGCTCCGTAAAACGGACCTACCAAATCAAAATAAGCAGAAGAGAGTGACTAGAATTTCTCAGCGTCTAACTTTTATATGACTGAAGGACAGAAAATGACTGAAAAAGACGGAAAATGCTGGAAATTGACGGAATTATTAATTTTGAAATTTCATTGGATTAACAATTAATGATCAATAATATCGAACATTCTGATTGATCAATTGTAAAACATCACAACCTTTCAGGTAAACAAGTGTTACCAAATATTCTACACAAATGTAAAATCATTCTTTCTCACGTATTATCAATTAAAACAAAATATATTTCACAACAAATAATTTAAACAAAACATATTAAACTCAAAACAATTTTTAGTTCATCTCAAAATACATTCATTCGTAAGACAGCGCCATTTATACTCAATAAATTTATCGACTATACAACCAATAGGAGAACAATTTATTGAATAGATTAACAAGTTTCTAAACCGGAAGTACATCGTACAGAAGAGCTCCAAAACTGTCAAAGATGTGTCAAAAGAAGTTTAGACTGTTCACAGGTATCATATCAATTAAGTAACACTAAACAACAATCGCATACTTTTACGCACAGTTATAGTCTTGCAATATATACGTAAGTAATAATTTACAAATGGCTCACTTCATTAATCTCCTTCCAAACTCTAATCGATCAGTTCGAATTATCTCTGTCATGTTTACATTACCAACATATAACAAGATACGCTTGATTATAAATATTTACAAATACAATTACATAACTTATATAGGTATAACTTTGCGAACAGCATATTCATATAAAATAAAAACAAATCTTCGTGAGTAAACAAACTTCATCAACCCGCTCCAAATCGCTATAATGTATGAAAACATATTGCAGACATTGACTCTATTTGATAGAAAAGTCAAACCGCTCCAAGCTCACACAAATATAGTAAAGTATTACAGACACTGACTCAGAATAAAACTGTGTGAATAAACAAACTTCATCAACCCGCTCCAAATCACCATAAAGCATATGATAACATATTACAGACATTGACTCTATTTGATAGAAAAATCAACCCGCTCCAAGCTCACACAATTACAGTAAAATATTACAGTCATTGACTCAGCATGGTTAAACACTATTATTGTGGATTAAATAATGAATGTCATATAACCTAATACAATACATAACAATTAAAAGGGGGGGTCACATACACTACAGGCTTAGAATCGTCAAACTTTGTCAGTTGATGCACCTTGGGTTTTTCGGAGAATGTCGACCAAAAAGTAGGTTATGGTGACCTACTTTTGAATATCTCAACTACTTATTGGCTTAGAATCATCAATCTTTGTCAATTAATGCATCTTGAGTCCTCAGAAAATTTGAATCAAAAAGTAGGTCACTGTGATCTACTCATGGTATTTTATAGCTATATTGAAAGATCTTCAGTCCTAACTGGCTAAGAATCATCAAACTTTGTTCGTTGATGCATCTTGGGTCCTTAGGACACAGTTTGAGGCTTCAAATAGAAGTGATAGATTGTACAATTTATCAGAAGAGCGATTCAAGGCCCTTGGGCCTCTTGTTTCATAATTTCAAATAGGAACACTGAACTATAAATAATAATACTCAATTA